AATAGTTTGGGACCTTAAAACTCATCCAGTGCCACCCCTGACAAGGGCAGGGACACCTTCCACTGTCCCAGGCTGCTCCAAGCCCCATCCAGCCTGGCCTTGGACACTTCCAGAGATCCAGGGGCAGCCACAGCTGCTCTGGGCACCCTGTGCCAGGGCCTCTCCACCTTTGGGAAGAATTTCCTCTGAATTTCTAATGTAGACCTACCTTCCATCAGTTTAAAGCCATTCTCCTCGTTATGTCACTCCATGCCCTTGTATGTGTAGATCATAAGTACAGTAAAAATGAGATGTGGTATTTTAGTGAAACCAAAGCAGGCCAGGAAATCCATGCAGGTTTCATTCCTTGCTGCCTCCAGGTAATGGTAAATTTTGGTATTCTGTAGGTGTTTGCAGCTTTCAGGTTGTGTAGATAGTCCAGACTGTGGTTTATGGATGTCACCAGTAAATTAATGTTACTGCTGCTCAGCCATCCAAATACAGGTGAACAATTTTGGTTTACCACATTCTCAAAAGAAGTGGAGGTTTTCTTGCTTTTTCCAGTTGGTTTATATAAAAGATAAATTGTCATTCTCGCTTATGCAGTTTAGTAATGACAAACCTCAGAACCGGTACTTTTGGATGATCTAAATACGAGTTAATTTTTGCTTAAACCTTAAGATGTGATTGTGTTTAAGGTGCAGCTTTGGGGTTTCGGTGAGTCACTATTGTGAGTGGGAGGGCAGTGCAGGCTCTTTCAATCTCTGGGTGTGTATTTAGAGCACATCCCCAGTTCAGGTAGGGATGGGAAGGAGAAGGGACAGATGAGGAAAGGTAAGGACGCTCAAAAGTCCTTTGGAAAATCACATTTTATTGCAATGTGGAACATGGAAATTTTTTTGCCTGTGTCAGCCATCACAGAGAGCCTATGTGAAACCATCAAAGGTTTAAGTATGTCGATGTCCACAGGTTGTACCTGGTGGGTTTTGCAGCAGGTTGAGTTACAACACTCTGAACCACATGTGCTCAGATACGGCGGTGGAATAAATTTCTCATATGTGTGGGACTGTGACGGTTAAAACAATCATTACTGAAACCATATACCTTATTTCCTGTAACTAATAGCAGATCTCTACCTGTGGAATATATTAACAGTTATTCCTTTGGGTTTGGATGGTTGCTCAGCTGTTTTGTTGGACAGATATTTAGACGTGGTCTGTAATTTATGTTGTCTGAGTACGTCAATGAACAGAGCTAATTATGGCTTCCTGATGTGAGCTGTGCTGATGTTTGTGAAACCACACTTCTGCATATAAGAGTGAATGTGTGTTCTTTAATAAATTCTGGAAAATGATGGGTTTTCTCTGCCTAGGTTGGTTAACAAAAATACCTAAGTTGGCATTCACCTAGAGTTTAAAAAGAAGCCATGGTTTTGTGTCTGGTTGAACAGTTAATTCTTTCATGCCTTTAAAGATAATTTTTATTTATTACTCTGAACAGTACTCAGACTTTCTTTTAAAAGGAAATTTTTGGTTCAAACAGCAGTGGCCCTTTCAGGGACTCCATAGCGTGCCATGTTTCAGTGTGGGGTAGAGCTGAAGCAAGTGACAAAAGTCCTGGCTGAATGTCACCGTGAGCTTCTGGCTTTGAGACAGCACCTAATTACCCACCTACACTTTTCAGTACTTCAATATACCTCTGCATTAGTCATGTCATTTGGACACTGCTACCACTTTGAAGGATTTCTTTTTTTTCAGATATGTAATGTGTATCCTGAGGAATGTGCTGCTCTGTATGGTAAAGACAGAGTAGGGAATTTTCAAAGGAAAGGATCCTGCAGCCGTGTGGATGGGGTTGAGCTGTTTGAGGAACACCCAGGATTGCTGGCTCCAGAGAGGAAATACTGTAATGAGAAAGGGGAAGCAGTTCTGTTTTTCTAATATTTGTTGTTTTCTTTGAAATGGGGAAAAGAATACCTGGAGTGATTTATATTTAATTGAGGATTGCATTCCATCAGATACGGTGAATGTTCTCAGGCCATTTATCAGCTGTGTCTTTTGGAGACCTCTGAGGAGTTTATGGTACATATTTACCTTAACTTGGCTGGGTCAAGGGAAATAAAGCAAAAATAATAGCTGTTATTTTTGTATGTGAACAAAACTGGAAGTCATGTGGGTGAAATATGAGCCAAACGACCATGTCCTACCTCCTCTGTGTCTTTCTAAGTACAAGAAATTATTAGTTATATGTAATATAATTTCCTTAGCATTATCAGTGTATCTTTTAAAAACAGAAGATATATTGACTTTTTAGTTGCTTCATCTTAGTCAAGCCCTGAAGTGAATGTGACATATATTGTACTGCCATTATCCTTTAGTAGTATCTTATGTAGGTAGTATCTTATTTAAAAAAAACAAATGACAAAAAGGAATAGAATAAACCATATACTGCTTCTTAAATAACATTGTAACATTTTTTCTGAATTGAATTTGGTGTATATTGCTGGGAATGTACAGAGATCACACAACAACAGAATCCTACAAGTGCTAGTGAGGATTTCAATAAGCAGTACCTACATTTTTTGGAGTGAGTGAGTTTTGTAAGAAAACCTTTGAGCTTTAGGTCGTCTCTGAAAAAAAATGTGTCATTGCTGATTGTCACCCTCATGGGCTGCTGCCACGGGGTCTATGAGTGTTATTGTGAAGAATTACATATCAAGAGCTATCTTAACACCCACTTCACGACACATCCACGATTCAACCCAGTTTCCCAATGTAAATAGCCAAAGGGAGTTTATTGTATAGTAATGCTTCTGTATTGCAGTTTCCCTAATAGATCTAAAGGTAGGTAAATGCAGAATAATGAAGTAAATGTCAGGGTCTTTAAGCAGGAGGAAACACGAGGACTGAGCAATCTCTTACCGTCAGGGCGTACAGTCATTCTCTGTTCCCGTGAGGGATGTACAGTGAAAACTGGTGCAAAATAAAACCAAAGAGCACAGTGTGGGTTCAGCTGAACCTGGTGATAAAACCAGTTTCAGAACTAGTCTGGTGAAGTGTGATCTGATCAGATGCTTCATGAACAAATTGCTTTATTACTGATACTGCTAATGATTTGTAAATTAGTTGCAAGCCTCCCCGAGTGACTGACTCAGTGGCATTTACCAACTTTTCACATACCCCGTTTTTAGGGGCTGAATTTATAAAACGCTTCCCTTTAGTCCCTTGAATTAAATTTTCGGTGGCATTTGATGACAAGCATAGCATGATTAATTACAAATTGTTCTTTAGGTGAATAGTGCAGATTCTAAGCCACAGCTTGTGTTTTTATAGCAGTTATTACCCTGCAGGCTCCAAAAGGGCTTTGGAGGAGAGAGTATGATTTTGGTTACATCATTGTAAATTCAGAAAACGTCAGTGATCTCAAAAGTGTGATTTTTTTGAAATTAGGTCAGTGAAAAAGAGATCAGAAACTGCTTTGCTACCTGAAAAGAAGCAAGCTCCAAAATGGAGTGAAGTATCTGCTTCCAGATGGCTTTCCTTTTGGTTTTGCAAAGAATGCATTTGTTAAAACAAGTAATTTATTTGAAATATTACGGAGGAGTAAATAATAGAGCAAATGATAACCTGAATCCAGGCTGGATTAGGAAAGTTGGAGCATGGAGTGTTTTTTCTTTTGCTGATTGTTCTGTGGTGACCCAGAAGCTCTACATCACCATTTCATCTGGCTCCATGGTGGGCCAACAACAAAACATAAACCTGAAGGTTTATTATGTTTTGTCTCCCAATTAAATTGATTCAGTGTTTGGATTTTTGTTGCTGGTTAACTGATCTTTTGATAGCCACACTGCACTTAAAAGGCTTTTTGTTTTCTGCCCTATAATTATAGAATACACAATATTTTTAACCTGCTCTTGAATCAAACTAAATTTCTCAGCTATGGTTGAGATGATGATTGAGATTTTCAGGAGAGTATATAGTTCTCCGTTGAATTCTCATTTCTTGTCACCAGAGGTTTTGGTAAGATAAGGATTACAGTCTGAAACCACTAGAAATTGCAGGTCAGGAAATGGGTGTAAGGTCTTGCAATGTACCTTGTCAAACACGAGTCCGGAGTAACTGCATTTAGCAGGGAGTCCATCATTCTTAGGGAGTGTTGAGAGGGAAACCATCAGAGAGGTGTTTGTGGATGGTGAACACCTTTCAGGGTTTTGTGTGTGGTGGCTTTGCTCGAAGCATGTGAAAAGCAGCTTTTGAGTACCCCAAGGGTGTGACTCATGAGGGCGATGAGCAATAGTCACCGGGTTTTCATCTGTCCCCTCGCTTTGGGCAGCATGTTCTGCATCCTGTTTGTGAGCAGCTCTGTGGCTTTTTGTCTCAGAGCTTCCTTGTGCCTCCTCTAGTGTTCTCTTCCACCCACACTTTGGAGTACTCAGAAGAAATAAGGTGGTTTACATCTCCTGTTGTTGCTGGGGTTGTGATCCCAGCAACAAACAATGCAGGAGGGTGTCCTGGGGAATGCCCCGGCTGCACCTCCCCAAGCTGCTCTCTGCCTTTAAGTATCTCACCCAAATCACTGTCACTGGCAACTATTCTGGCTGAAGTGTGTTTGAATTGCTCTTTAATTTTCTCTGCCACCAGGAAAAGGAGAATGAATGAATAAGCTACTTTCTAGGTTATGGAATAATTGACTGTATTAGGGAGTTAGTGTGTAAAGTAAAGCTGTTTTTAAATATCGGATTGAAAACAAACCCATAAATTCAAAGTACAATGTGTTCCTAAGTCTTGCACATTTTAATTCATTTAAAATTTACAGATAGTATCTTTTAAAGGTCAAAATAATCTAGTCATCATAATTTCTAAGTTGCCTTTTCTGAAGTAAACACATTACTATAATATTAAGGATATATTACAAGGCCTTGCAGTATATTTCTTCTTCCAATATAATTTTAAGTGGTAAAAATAATAATAATAGTAAAGATATGTTTCTAAAGTAAAATACTTCTCTATTTTCATTTTCAGGTTTCAGACAGTTCTGAAGTACTTGGAAAATGAGTGTCCTTCTCATTGAACCCTTTTATGGTGGCTCCCACAAACAGCTGATGGATCTTCTCCAGGAAGAGCTACAAGAAGATTGTGTCCTCTGCACACTCCCAGCCAAGAAGTGGCATTGGAAGGCACGGACCTCTGCTCTTTATTTCATGCAAACAGTGCCAACAAGTTCTAATTACAGGTAACCAAGGGATTGAATAATTTCTAAACTCAAATTACGCAGATGCCTTCAGCCAGGTCTCTTGAATTCACTCCTTGTGTGGATGCAAGGGTGTATGTGAGAGCAATTAGGGCCCTGCAGTGGGCAGCACAGGTTTTTCTTGGGTATAACTGAGAAATTGTATGTTTTATTTAGAATTTCCAGGGCTGTTTTGTCTTGCATCTCCAGTCCATGAGAGTCTCTCAATATCTGGGTGCCTGATGTCTATATGTGTATGTGTATCTCTTATTTGAAATTTATCATGTGAGCTCAGTCATTCTGAAAGGTTTAAACTGTGCTTCACAGATTAGGCTGAGAGATGGCACGGATGTGAACACTGCAAGCTTCCTCACGTGCCCTCCCATGTATCTATTAGCAAGTCTGATTTATCAGTGTCCTGCTCAGGCTGACCTGGAGGATTAAGGGAGCAGTTTTATCTTAATGATGGTCCGGTTCAGTAACGTGCCAGCAACTGTGGGTGTCAATTATACATTTATGTAAGTAGCAAATTTCCATCAGCTAGAACCTGGGCTGATAAAAACAGGCGATTTAGGTCGACAAGATAGCTATCACATAGTGAGAATCAGCCCCTCCAGAGCCAAGCTGTCTCTAAACCCAGCAGTTTTGCTTGGCCTACCTGATCAGATGAGATGTGGCGAGGTGATTGTCTGGAGCAGTGAGATAGAGCTCTGCTCACAGCATGCAGAACATTGTGTGGGGACTGTGCACCTTCATGGGGGGAGACTGTTCATGCACAGGGTTCTTTTAGCCCAAGCAGCTGCAGAATGAACTTCAGGAGGGTTCTGAGCACACCTGAATGATGTGCCAACGAGTCACAGTTCAGAACTGGGTCTGGTATTTTTTACTGTGAGAGAGTAGGTGCTTCCTGAGGAAGGAATACCATTTTTCAAGAGTAGATTTGTGCTGTAGAAGGCTGCATTTGCTCAGTGTTACCCAGCACAATGTCTAAGCCATCTTGGAACACATATTGTGTAAATGTACACCTTTCCTGTGCCCGCTTTTGGCTCCCATTTAAAATAATCTCCCACCTCAAGCCAAACGTTATAATTAATTTTCCCCATTTTGTCTTGTGCGAGGCATTTAGTGTTGGTTTCCTCTTGCTTTCTTTTTGCAACAGTTTTGTTTTGGAGGAGTGTACATGACAAACTGTTATGTAAATTTGTCTTGTATCACAACCACATCCTCCAACGCATCACAATGTTATCTGTGTTCCTTCAAGGTCAGCAGCCCAAGCTGTCCAGCACTAACTGCATTAAACTAATCAGACATCACTCATAGACATACACTTCATTAGTTTAACTTACAGTTACATTGACCTAAGATAACTTAACTCCAATTTGTCAAGTAACCCACATCTTGGGGAAAGGGGGAGGGAGCGCTGACAAAAAAAAAAAAAACCCAAAAAAAGCAAAATCCCACAAAAAACCCAACAACCCAACAAAAAAACCTCAACCCAGCAGCCTGAAAACTCACTTGAAGTTAATAAACTTGCAATCTGTCATAGACTTATGTGCAAATACAACCTTTACTGACAGCAAATAAATCTGATCTAACCAATGGAGCATCTTAAGGAGAGGAAAGCATTTTCTTTGCTGGTGCTGTTCGGGTTGGAGCAGAGGGAATCAAACAGTCAAAGTTGACAAAGATGAGATGGTTAAAATAGAATTTGTACCTTGTCCTCGCAGGCAGCATAAAATTTTAGGATCAAGGGCTTATATGGCTGGTGAGAGGAAAACTGATTAGAGGTACCTTCTACTTTATTTGCACATTTTTAATGCTTGTTTTGTAGTTGAATGTTTCAATTATTTTATTGAATTGAAAGTATGGGTGCATCACATTCAACCTAGTAAGGATGACTACTCTCCTATTAGAAAACACATTGATTAAAATTAATTTTAATCCTGTTATTTTTAAGCTTTCTAATAACCACTGAAGATCAGCTTCCCAGGTAGCAGTTTGTAAAGAAAAAATTCCATTGTAAACTGGCAATACTGCGTGTTTAGCATTGCACATTTAAATATTTCAACCTTCTTGTGGGGTCGTGGAAAATACCAAATTTGCATTACTTATAATACTGATATTATTTACAGAAAAAACCCCTTTGTTTTATAAGTGCTTTCCATAAATGTGACATTTCGTAAATACCTTGTTTTTATTTGTATATTTAGTAGTACAGAAAGGTCACAGATATTTCAAGAGCAAACACTTGTGATAATGGAGCTGCCTTACTTAATCTTTATGTTCAAACTGTCCTTTATTTCGAGATCCTGCTGTGTGTGAGAAGTAATACTGATGTTAAGTCTGATGTTAGATGCATTTTAGAGGAGTAATATAGATATGTTTTACAGGACTTAGACTTCTATCCATATAAGCTGATTTTTGGGAGCAGGAAGGTTTGTTAGTTTATATGTGACACTCCAAGAGTTAAGGAATAGTCTTAAAAAGTGCTTTTGAAACAAAGGATGCAGTGCAGAGCCATAAATGTTAAATTCAGACACTCTGCAGTGAGCAGAGAGTTTCTGTGATGAACTTGCTAATTGTTTTATCAGAGAACAGACGTGTTCTCCCTTGAGCACAAACGAAAGCTGAGCTGGTAACGAACAGGGCATTTAATGTTACTTTTGTGAACTGTACAGCCATTCTCTTGGTGTGCAGGAGCATGATGTTCCCAAGAACGTGGAGATCTCCCCAGGATTGTCACAGGGAGAAGGTGTCCTCACCCTCCACAGGGAACACACAGAGCTGGTACGGGAGATACCGGACACTCGGGGTTTGATCTGCAGCACTGCCTGGATTTGTATTAATTCCCCAACGCAAAGTCTGTGCTGCATTTCTCCAGAAAAGTTTTGCTTTTCTGTTTCCCTGGCTATGTTGAGCAATGTGTTAAACCAGCTCATGCTTTCCTTCATCTCCTGAGAGGAGCATGAGAGCCCTGAGGAGTGGGAAGCCCAAGCATGCAGAATCTCTTCAACTTAGAAGGCCAGGAGGAGAATTTAAAGGTGGATCACTTGCCTAGAGATCTTGGAATGATCACATAGATTGATGTGCAGCAGCCACAGACTGAGTTTCAATTGCTGTAGAGTCACAGATGATTTTTCCTTAATTGAAAAGAAGGTGTTTGGATGTTTAGTACGAGGAGTTTTGTTCTTGTGGTGGCAGTTTCCAAATCACAGCATCTGAAGCGCACTGAAAAAGGGAGGAATTACTGTCTGCTTTCTCTAGACAAGGTTTTCAACCATCTGAGAGTTTTGCTAGCAGTTGGTGGGATATTATCTTCATTCTGTGGACTTGGAAGGTCCAGCAGAGCCTCCTCAGGCTGCTGGCACTCTGCAGAGCTGCTTTGTCTCCCAACTTCCTCAGACAGCTTCAGCCTCTTGATAAATGTGGGTGTCTGATTTTTAGCCTAAAGTTGTTTTCCATAGCACACAGTGACTATTCTGTAATTCTAGATAGCATGTAAAAGAAGAAATTTTTTTAGCCTTTTAAAAATTCTTAATTCCAGGAAAGTTCTCAAATTTGAAAATACTGTTGCACAATTTAATGAAAAACAAAAATGCTTTTATTTTTCCTCTAATTATTTTCTTTATTACAGTGAGCAGTCTATTAAATTACAGATAGTAAAACATTGGTATGATACATTAGATGAAAAGAGTTTATCTTCTAGGAGCTATCCTACAAAACAATTCAATCTCCAAAAAGTTAGTAGCATAAAACTGTAAAACAGAGTGACTAAATTCAGTGTAGCTTCCAGTGTGTTTTAATAGCACTGCTATATTATTTTAAATATATATATATATATATAAATATTATGTACAACATTCAGTATTGCCCCCCAGGTAGCTGTTCATATGAATAAAGATTTTATTTGTAACAGATTCTAGCCCTGAAATACCCCTAGGGTAAATGTTAGCATATATATACCCCTTGATATCTGACAACTATATTTTAAAGACAAATTCTGTGCTTTTTACGTTTTACAAAAGAGAAAACAAATTATTGTTTTCAATTAATAGAGCTCTGGAAAAAAAACCCCAAGCTGGGGTGGTGTTCAGCAAAGGAGAGTACATTTCAACAGTATATAATGTAGATGTGGTTGTTTCTTGATTTTATTTTTTTTTAATATTCTATTAAAATTTAACTAGATTTAAGACTGTTTCAGATCTGATGCTTTTGTTCTGTAAGGAGAAAATGCATTATTATAGAGTGAATTCTGGTGGGCTGTGTCCCCTAAATATCTTAAAAAAGCAACCCTTTAATTTTTTTTTTTTTTCCAGTGAGTATTTCAATCCTACTGAAAACATAACACTGTGTGGATGTGTGACCATTTGCAAGCTTGAGGATTTAACTGTTTTCTAGATGTTTTGTTTTCAGAAACGTTCCTGCATGCCCTGGAGTAGGTGTTTGAGGATGTAACTCAAAGCAGGGTAGGGCAAATTTCATTAAATCTGAATGCATAGATACCCATTTGTGCTGGAAACATTTCTGCCTGTTTACATCTTTCTGTAAAATACTGGAAATGTTTATATAATCTTTCTAGGAACTGCAATAATTTGTCCTACATTAAAGGCCATCCTAGAATTTGACCCTTATAATGCACAGGTAAGGAATAAATAAATTGTATATATGAATAGTAAATTAGTTAAAAGAAGATAACCAATTACCTATAAATTAAAAGTTTGTCTGATACTGTTTGGGATTTTTTGGGCATATTTTATGGTGTTTGCTTCTATATATAGGTGAATAAACATAAACCTTAATTATAGCATTAACTACTAAGAGTGTGTATTTTGATGTTGCTGCTCAAATTCACTGCATTTGAAGATGGGACATCTCTTTGGAATTACTGAATAATTTTCTGCCCAGAGGTTGTCTTGGTTTCACCCTATGTCTATTGCTTTTTGTGTTTTAACTGCAGTTTTGTGTGGGGCACAGTGGGATGTGCTCCTGGAAGGGAAGGGAAT